GCCATCTCGAATCGGGCCAGCACTGAGTCGATGCGCTCGCCTCTGTCGACTCTGAAGTCGACGAGGGCTGTCCCTGAGGTGGGCTGTCGCTCGCCCTCGATGTTTTCAACTTTGGTGCTTAGTAGGTACATGATGTATGTGACTCCATCGGTCCGTCTCCACTTCAGTGTCGCACCGTAATTGATAATGGTGGACCCTTATGGCTAGTGTCCTCGCCAGTCCCCTTCGGCCGCGCTGCAGAGCAACTGCCTGTTGGGGCGGAGTCATAATTCCGCTCGCAACGTTGGGTCATGCCTGTACTTCGCGAACAAAGTCGCGGAAGGGTACGTTACCTGCGGGGCCCCAGCAGGGACCCCGAGTGCGTGTTTCATCCAGTCCCCCCCCTCGCATGCATGCCACGGCGAGGCCTACGCACGCCAGATAGTTCCACACATCGCGACCTCAACATGGTGCATGGTCATGTTGTAGCTGATGACGTTCGGTTGCTTATCATTGGAGATTGTCGCGCCCGTAATGTTGCGACTGGTTATGCGGTCTGACGTGGCCGTCAACATGCGGGTAGATATAGGTGTTTGGGTCGTGCGTGGCGTGTGGCCACGTGGGGAGAGATGGAGGTATAGGACTGGCCAGAGTGGCTGAGAGACGGCGCAATGGGGTACTCCACCGTGCCGTGGTAAGTTGTCATGTACATAACACCTGATGTAAGAGCCCGCCACATGAAGATGTAGTCAGATGCGCTACCAAGTGAAAAGGAAGGGCACAAGGCTTGACCACGAAATTATAAGCTGATAGCCCTACTCTTAGCAGAACGTCGGCGACGTACCGGAGTATTTCACAACTCGTCAGTGGATGGCAAACAAAACGAGATGTAAGAGATCACCCCCATGGGATCGGGAGGTGGATAATCGAAGGACGTGGCCGTTGTCCTTTGCTAACAACCGCAACTAAAGTTACACATGGGGAGTGCACCTAGCAAATATGACTGCGCCGTCTTGAGCCAAGACAGCGACATATATAGTTTTCGCTGAAAGCCTCTCCTTAAACATCGTGTGAAGTCAAATCGCCAGCCGCCCAAGACTGCCCAAGAAGGACACAACATGGCCCCAATGCGCCAAACGATTCCCAAGATGGCGCCAGCGGCTCTGAGATGCCCCCGAAAGGCACACGGATGAACCAAGATGGCACCTAATGCACCCGAACTGTCCCGATATACGTAACCACAAGGTGGCTCAGCCTAGAAGGCTGTCGGCACAGGGCACCCTGCAGATCACCTGCATGGCAACGGTCGGCGAAGCGAGGAGGGAGGCAGCACCAGAGGACCGGTGTGCTTCGGGGGTGACTCCAGAAGAGGGCAGCGAGACGGTCGACGCGACCGGGAGAGCGAGGAAAGAGGAGAAGCGAAGGGAGCGATAGGGACAGGAGGTGAGGACCGCATGTGGGCACGAGCGACCGAATCCGATGAAGGCTCCGACAGGCTCCGATGCAATCTCAACCGCGGCCGCACCCAGCCTGCGAGGTCATGCGCTAACCTCAGGGCGTGGTTTCATATTTCGCGGGCGTGTCGAGGACGCACACAGGCACTAGGCAGAGGATGCAGAGACACACGACTGCCCGAGCGCGAGATGAGGCCAAGCGCGACGGCGACGCGGATCGTCGCCGAATGCCGACGTGCCGCCCAAGTGCGCCGAGGGGCCTCTGGAAGAGCGCCTGAGCGCACGCCGGAGTCCAGCGAACCGCCTCGGAGAGCGGGCGATCTTTACTGCGCGGCTGCAGCACAGGCTCCCACGGCGCGCGCGAGGCGGCGCGGCGTGTACCCCTGGCTGGTTTGAGCCGAGACACCGTGCCCAACGTCGAACGAGCGGCAGTGGCGCAGCTCGCAGAGGAGCCGCGACGCGGGGCAGGGGAAGCGACCGGCTCAGCGGCAAGGGAGGACACCCAAACTGCACAAGAGGGTGAAGGGAAGGGGAAGGGCTTCTTAGAAGGAGGCTACTTCTTAGAAGGCGCCGGCCTTACGTCTACAGATAAGGCCCGCACCTTCAAAGAAGCAGGGGTGTTTCCAAGAAGCCCTCCCCCTTCCCCCCCCTGCCCCCCCCCGGCGCGTGGCTGAATCCTGGCCGGGACCGTCCTGGGCCCAGGGTCGGCCTGCACGCCCCCCCCCCGGCTTGGCGACGCCGGGATCGCTGACGGAGCACAGCTGGCGTTCCAGGACGGCGGGGGCAGGTGGCGGTGCGCGCCGACTTGGTCGCCCGAACTGGGCACGGAAAAGAATGGGCACGGCGCCCAACAACCAATGCTGTCCGACACCGACAGCGGCTACTGTTGGGCAGGCGGCCTTCTGTCTCGAATGGACAAGGCCCAAGGCGGCATGGACAGGGAACCCGGCGAACCCTGCTCAAATTTTTTGTTTTTGTTTTTTGTTTGTTTGTTTCGTCCCCCGGTCGGGGAAGGATCTCGCTCCGTGAGGCCCGCCCCGTTGGTCCGCCGCGCCGCGGCCGAGGCAGCGCCCACGGCCCCGCACACCGGCAGTCGAGAGAGGAGGGAAGGAGGAGGAGGAGGAGGAGGAGGAGGAGGAGGAGGAGGAGGAGGAGCAGGAGAAATGCTGATTTGGCGGGCATGGCTTTTCAGAGGGCAGTGTAGCTTCAAACGTGGCAGGGCTGCTGCTGTGGCTCAGATCGTTGCTTCAAACGAGCCGACCTAACGCCTGCAGTTTTTAGCAGCGCGCTCTAAAGCCCGCACGACCTCATAATCATCCTTCAACGCGCTCTGCAGGAGGTGCTTCCCCTTGTCACTGAGGTAGGTTTGTGCTGGAAGGGGTACTGACCCTTGTCATGCGGAATTTCGGCGGGCGCCGCCCACCCCAAACGCCCAAACACGTCCTTAAGGTCGTGAGAAATCGTCTCGGAACGAATCAAACACACCTCTTGTGCGAGAGTGCAGTCGAGATCGTGTTCAAAATAATAGCGAAAGCCTTTCCCAACGTGCTCAGACATTATTGGCTTCTCAAGCGCTCGGCGGGCAATGCTACCGCAATCGCTCTGGTCCTGCAACGACTCCGCAAAGTCGTTGACTTCTCGGAAGCATCGATAGAACGCCTGCTCTTGTTTATCTTGCTGGAACCCTTCCTGCCCGTGCGGCGAATCTCCGTTTAGGGGGTTCCTCCAATTGAAAGCAGATGCAACACGAGCAAGCGGACTCGAACAGAAACAATCCACGTGCGTTGCTGGTCTGCGCGGCAATTGTCGACCTGCCGAATGTGAATCTCATGGTAAGGGGTGTTCTTGTAGATGGCCGTACCAATTGAGCTGCCTGCGCACTTGCCAACATGCACAAACTGCACAAGCTCCTTATCGGATCGCAATGACTCGTTATTTTACGTTTGACGGCACTCAGAAACAATACGTCGCCAGTCTTCAACATGCAAGCTTTCATCGTCCCAATCGGGCCCTCCACTTTCGATATCATCACACTCGGAATATGGTTCCATTTTATCTTTGGGGTCAGAAACATAGATGCCCATGCCGTGCTCTGCATTCGAAACAACGTGAAAGGCGGAGGCCACACTACTGCCGCTCAATGTAAATATTAAGCATGCGATCGCCCTCGCGAACACCATCGTGAGTGCTGAAGAAATACGAATGTCAGTACACTGCAAGTTCAGAGGAGTTCAATGTCTTAGTTGTATATATCGCGCTTGTTGGATCTAGCACTTGAGCCAAAATGGCTACAGCCGGCGAACCCTGCTCAGAATGGACAGGGACTGCTGTTGGGCGTCGTGCCCATTCCGACCGTGCCGAGCCGAGGGGGGCTTACCAGTTGAAACATATCCTTATTCCTGTGTTTGGCATCGCCTCAACTCGATGCCCATAGTAAGGACTCCCTCGGTTTCTGAGGGCACATCCCTAGGATCGTAATCGCTCTTTGCTCGCTCATCTTCAGGCTAGGGATGAGTTCGAGGCTGGTCAAGGGCGAGGCAGGCGCGCGCGCGCGCGCGCGGTGGCGAGGCCCGCGCGCGCGCGCGACGGGCGCCCGCGGACGGGCGCATTGGCGCGCCGGCGGTCGCGCCAGCGGAGCAGCGGGCGGCCCTGCGGCGGGCGCGGGAGCGGCAGCCGCGCGGAGGAGGCCCGCGGCGGGGCGGCGGCACGGCGCCGGATCTGGCGCGGAGCGGCTCCGCTGCCGCGAGCGGGGCCTCTCTCGCCAGGCGCTGGTGCGCGCCGCGACAGAGCACACGAGGAACGAGGAATCGGGGGGGTGCTGCAGGGCGCCCAGGGGCCCTCCCACCCGAAAACCCCTCCCCTGCCGCTGCAGCTCGTCCTCCTCGTGCCCTTCCTCCTCCCCCCTTCCTTCTCGTCCACTCTCCCCCTCCCCCTCCCCCTCCTTCTGCTGTCCTACTCCACCACCTGTTCCTTCTGCTCCTCCTCTTCACCAATGAGTCCAGCCCTGCCCCCTGGTGGGAGGAATAATTAAGGGAGGATGAATTTGGAGAGGAGGGTGGGACGGCGATCTGAATAATCTTCCTGGGTCTTGGGTGCAACCCTCTCCCGACGTCCGGACATTGCACGCGGGCGACCACCTCTCTCCTCTTCACTTTTCCTTATGATCTTCCTCCTTTCCCTCCCTCCATTCATCTTCCCCTCCCGTTTATCCACTCCTCTTCCTCATCCTGGTTGCTTGGTCCTCCGATTCGCAGCTCGCACTTTCGACCGATCTGCCTGCAAACCCCTCCAACCGATCATGCTAAGCGGAACTGGCGCAAAAGCCGCGGCGATTCCGGGCAACACGTCATCTGCGCAAGGCCCCAAGCGTGCGGATCGAGCGGTCGAGCAGGCTGGGCGGAAGCACGCGAACGACGGCGTGCGCAGACAGACCGCGCAGGGGCACAGCGAGAGAGAACGGCGTGGGCGTCTTTGCGCAGACGTCGGCACATCGTTAGAAACCCGTCACTGGGCGCATGCTGCTGCGGTCTCTGATTCCTATCGGCTGGCGCGACGCCCGCGGTGCGCCTGCGCCCAGCTGTCGTAATTGAAATAGTGGTGCAGCTGCGCCGTGTCCCTGTGGTAGCTCCGCAGCGAAGAAGGGCCTCTGGAGAGCGAGGACCACGGCGGCGCGGGCGGTGGGGATCGCGGGCGGGCGGGACGGCACAGGAACTGAGACAGTGGAGGCTTGACAGCGGTGGGGAACGGACCACGGACGTGTGGGAGTGGGAAATGCCAAGTACATCTCCCGATGCACAGCCACATATATACTAGAGAAGCTCCACGACTGCATATTAGATGGATCCGAGAACCACGCGCGCGCGCTTCGCAGGCGCTTAGGTTCTAGCACGCTGTGGCTATATCCTACAACGTGCAGCATCGGAGAGACGAGTGCGAACTAGACGCGCGTCATGAACAACACAGCGTTCGAACACTAAGCAAAAGCTTCCCCCCTGCTTGCCCCTACGTGTGCAACGCGATAACTAATCCTGTATTATCTTCCACACAACCCTTCTATCCCCCCTCCACCCCGTCTCCCTCCAGCCATTTCTTTTCTTCTTTCCCCTTTCCTCGACCCACCATCCCTCCCGCCGTGCCTCTGAACCCCTGCTTCCCTCGCTGCTGCGCACAACAAATTTCGCCACCGCGGCCTTGGGGCCGTCTCGAGGGCCTATGGAAGAAACTTGTTGAATGCCTGTTACTGTTTGGGGCTGAGCTTGGCGCGGAAATCCTTGGTATCTGCGGCTCACGCGGCCGAAGAGCGCTCTCTTCAATGAATTCTGGCCGGTCCAAATGCAAACTTGTGTTGGTCAGCAGAGGCGATGCAACCTGACACGCGGGCGCGCGAGTGGCATACCGAGCGATCCGCGGAAGACTTCCCGTCGCAAAACAATCAAAACTAATGTCAAGGAGAGTCCGGAAAACTTCGGATTAGGATGGAGGAAAGACACAATCGACCAGCACGCGAGCTCGAATTAGCAGAAGTCGCTGTGCTGATTGCGCGCGGACGCCACCTGGAAATCTCTTCGGCCCATTTCATTTTGGCTGGTCCGAAAGCAAAATGGTCTTGATCAGCACAGGCGTCGTCGCTGTCCGCAGGTGGAGCTCACCTGCAAGTCGGCCCAGCAACCTCACACGCCCGTGCGCAAATGGCATACCGAGTGATCCGCTGAAGACTCCCGGTCGCTGAATAATCAACATGGCAAAGAGAATCTGGAAAGTAGTGACAATTCATATATCTCCATTTGGCTTTTGAATGCTTTTGTGTTGTCGGAAGCGTTTTAGAGGTTCTCCTGGGACCCTCGGGGGCTGTCTGCGCATCTGTCGACGACTTGCGGCTCTCTTGGGCCGTCGGAGCTGCCTGGAGGCCGTCTGTGTGGTGGCTCTAGGTCGTCTTTGGCCGCCTGGACGGACGTTTGATTTGAAGGATATCCAGGACGATGTTGGGCCCCCAAACATACGGCCCTGGCCCCTGGCACACACGCGCACACACAAACGCACACAAACGCACACACACACACACACACACACACACACACACACACACACACACACACACACACACACAACACACACACACACACTTTTGTGACGCCGTGAAGATCGTAAAACAGCGAATATGAGATTTCCCAACCATCCTGTGGTGTTGGGTCCTCGTTTTGAAAAGACAGCGCCCCGCGTCACCTCACCTCACCTCCCACCCTCCTCCCCCTCCTCCCCCGCCTCCCTCCTCCCATCCGCCTCGCCATCGTCATCGCCATCGTCATCATCGTCACCGGCATCGCCATCGTCATGATCCACAGCATCATGATCATGACCATCGCCATCGTCAGCGCCGCGCCCCTCACGCGGTTCGTGGCCCCTTAGGGAGCTCCACCGAAGGCCAAAGTGGCAGCGGTTGCATGCGCCACCGCTGCCCCGAACTGGTTGGTGGGGCGCCCTACCTCTGGAGTAGACCCACTAAAAGACATGGCTACTCAACATATGGAAACATATGCGGTGCCGCGTGTTAGTTTACCGCACCAAGCGGCAACGTTGAACAAATATCAATAGCAGCCCCAGCGGCACACCCGTGAAGAAGGTGCCCGTGAAAACGGCGCTGGGTGGAAAACGCGGTGCCCCCACGCCCCCGCTGGTAACACTCCCCAGAACGACAATCAACAGAAACCCGCAACGGCCGAAGCGCCGCAGTGGCCGGCACCCACGGAGCCCGTCCAACAACCACGCAGAGAGAGGAGCTTTACGATGTTTCCACTCGTCACCGAGTCTTGGCCTCAATCCGCAGTGGTGCCATAGGGGTGATCCTAGGGGCGACCGCCGCGACCCGTCGACCTTTGCGGTCCCTGCCGATGCCCACTCCAAAGAGCCTGGCAGCGGCAGCGGGTGGCGGTGCGAGGTCATGCCTCTACCGTCGCGTCGATAGGCACTCTTATGATGCAGCTTTGTAAAGCCGCTCATTGGCGACAGGTCACTCTTACAGGTCATCAGCAGACGACGCATGGTGCCGCGTAGTGCCTCCTAGGTTCGCATCGGCCGTGGGAGCGGCCGACCCGTTGACCCCGAGCAGCGTGTCCAGGGACAGCTGCAAGAGGGTGTAGGCTTCGTCAACGTCACCGCTGCCCCATTTCGGCACATCCCTCGCGCGGTTCGTGGCCCCATAGGGAGCTCCACTGAAGGCCCCAGCGGGAGCGACCGCATGGCACCGTCGCTTCATTTTGGCACACCCCTCACACGGTTCGTGGCCCCATAGGGAGCTCCACGGAAGGCCACAGCAAGAGCGTCCGCATGGCACCGCCGCACCATTTTGGCACGCCCCTGACACGGTTCGTGGCCCCATAGGGAGCTCCACCGAAGGCCAAAGTCACGCGATTCGTGGCCCCATACGGAGTTCCACCGAATGCCCCAGCGGGAGCGACCGCATGGCACCGCCGCCTCATTTTGGCACACCTCTCACACGGTTCGTGGCCCCATAAGGAGCTCCACCGAAGGCCGCGGCGGGAACGTCCGCATGGCACGGGCCGCGAGCGGGGCTCGGGCGAAAGCAAGAAGACTCCAAGGTCACCCGCGTCAGCTTTTCTCCCCCTCATGCACGCCGCAGTCCTTTTTGCTGTCCCCCCTCGTTCGTCTCCTCTCCCTCGCGGTACTCGCAACAACTCATGGTTGGGTCCTTCGTCAAGCTATTTTTTCATCGAGCGGAAACTCGCCGGTCCTTGCCCAACATGGCACCTGGGGACAAGTTGACTCACTAAACGAAAACACTGGGCTCAGGCCCTCTCTTGAAAAACTGCGAATGCAGCCAAGTGCACGGCTACAGCATGCGTTGGCACGACCAGCCACATGAAACGACGTTGCACTGGACGCGAAAAAACATCTCGAGGAACTCGCCGAATTCAATGGCATCGAGGTGCCCGGACGCGTGGATCTAGTGCAGTGCATGGCGCCGTGATGAAATACAAGTGAAGCAGTCCTGGGCATTCTCCTGATCACCCCACACCATGCGAACATGATAGTTATCCTGACGAAAGACCCAACCATAAGCAATTGTGGATACCGCGTTCTGGGTCCATCTTTCGACGGGCCTCCCTATGGGACCACGAACCGTGGATGCAATAGGCGGCCCGCAGCGGCGCGAACCGTGTGAGGGTGTTCCAGAGTGGACATGCGGTGATCGGGGAGGGCGCATGCGGACGCGGCCACCGGGGCCTTTGATGGAGCTCCCTATTGGGCCGCGAACCGTGTGCAGGGTGCGCCGAAATGGGCATGCGGTGGGCGGGGAGGGCGCATGCGGACGCGGCCACTGTGGCCTGCGGTGGTGCTCCCACAGGGGCCACGAAGCGTGTCAGGGGTGTGCCGAAATGGGCATGCGGTGGGCGGGAAGGGCGCATGCGGACACAACCACTGTGGCCTTCGGTAGAGCTAGCTCCCTATGGGGCCACGAACCGTGTGAGGGGTGTGCTGAAGTGGGCATGCGGTGGGCGGGGAGGACGCATGCGGACGCGGCCACTAGGGCCTTCGGTGAAACTCCCCATGGGGCCACAAACCGTGTGAGGTGTTTGCCGAAATGGGCATGCGGAGGGGAGAGGCAAGGCGGGGGAAGAGGGAGGAGGGGGAGGAGGAGGAGGAGAGGAGGAGCTGGAGAAGGGGGAAGGAGGAAGGAAGGAGGAGGAACGCGGGGCGCTGTCTCTTCAAAACGAAGATTTAACACCACAGCATGGTTGGGACAAAATTGTGTTTTCGACGGGAATGGGGCGATTTTGGCCTCCTGGGGCTCTCTTGGGAGGCCTCTTGGGTCTTCTCGACGCCATCTTGGGGCGTCTCGTAGCGCTCTTCGGCCTCTGTCGGGGCGTCCTGGAGGCATCATTGGGCGGTCTGGATGCTATCATGGGCGCTCTTAGGGCGCTCTCGGGCGGTCCGGGAGCGTCGGGGGCCTCAGGAGAACCGCCCAGGGGGGGGGACAAGAATGAGCCTGTTTTTTAGATTCGGGCAAATTTATGAGCATGGGGGGGGGGGGCCTGAGCCTGAAGCACGCTGAAAACAATTTGACGTGTGGAAGTCGCGCAAGTCGAAAGGCACTGCACGCTCGCATTCGATTGAAGAGGGGCGCGGGGGAGCAGGGGGGGCGAACGCCATGCAAATGAACTTGCCTGGATCTAACGAAAAACAAGCTCAATGTACAAGCGGAAAGCCAGCCTGGGCCCCCGGGGCTGATATCTCGCATGTGTGTATAATATATGTATTTACGCGTGTGAATATATATATATATATATATATATATATATATATATATATATATAAATGTATATATAGTTACATATATATATACACATATGTTTGTGTATATTATATGTATATATATATATACGCCCACGGGGAATAAATGATGTTAGATTCTTCGGGCTGTCCCAAAGGAGGTCTTGGAGGCGTCTTGGCCGCCTCGGAGGCTATATTGAACTATCTTGACCCCCCCCATATTGGGCAGTGTACAGTGCATCTTGGGGTCATCTTGGGCTTTCCTGAAGCCATCTTAGCGGACTTGGGAGCATCTAATATGAAGCTGTTCTTGGCCATCTTGGCCGTCTTGGATGCCATCCAGGTCGTCTTGGACCGGGAATGGGGGGTCTTGTAGCACCCGTGCCGCAATGGAGAAATGGGGCTGGGCCCCCCTGGGACCTCGAACCCCAGTTACATATGCATAGGTGTATATACATACATACATACGTACATACATACATACATACATACATACATACACACACCTACTAGAACCACGCGCGCGCGCGACGCGCGCGCTTAGGTTCTAGCCGACTCCGCAATCATTGCCAGTAGGCTTCGCACGAATCCACAAGCCCGAATTTACCAAAGGAGAAGTGCCCCAAGCGCATGCCACCCTTAGCGCGTGGTGTCAGGCCTTCTGAAAGATAGCCACGGGTTTGTGGGGCAATCGCGGAGTCCGCCGACCCCTTTTGGGCCATCAAGGCGCGCGAGACTCTCCCCCCATAGGCCCCCACGCGCAGGCGAGAAAAGCACAACTACAACTGGCGCGTGTCGGCCACGCGCTCGTCAAGGGTCTGGGATGTAGAAATTCATGTCCAAACCGCATCGTGATCTTTCGGGTCATTGCATGTTTGTAAATTGCTTCGTGGCAAAATGGGGCGACCGCCCGGATCCACAGGAAATGCATGTAACGGAAAGCGCAGGCATGCGTAGTCACGTGCGCGCAGGTTTTTCGCTATCGGCTTTTCGAGCGCCCGAAGCTCCAAGACGGCCCCAAAGGCCCCCAATACCACCCCAATCCGGCCCAGGAGGCCCCTGAGAAAGTTCCAGAACATCTCAATACGACGCCGAAGCAGCACAAGAGACGCCAAAGAGAGCCCCAAAACAGCTCCAAGACGGGCCCAATAAAGGGGGAATGCGGACCAACAGTTCGAGCCTTGCGCCCGAAGTGGCCCCCGGGAAGCCCCGGGGGGCCTCCAAGGTGCGCAGCGTGGGTCGGCGGAATAAGCGAAGCGATTCAATTAGAAATAATGGCAATAATAATCTGGAAGGTTGAATGGAGGGGGGGCACGAGCGACCTGCTCCTGGGTTTTCGTGGGCAATAATCGCTTCGCTGACAGGGTGCGGACGTCACCTACAAATCTCTTCAGCCCATTTTAGCCAGTCGGAAAGCAAAACGGCATCGGTCAGCAAAGGTCGCTCAACAATCAAAAGTCATAGCAAGGAGGGTCTGGGAAGTGGTCACAAATCATATGTGGGACCAAGAGGAAAGGTAAATCAGGACGGAGCGTGAGAAAACCAAAAAAACATTGCCAAGGAAAATTCACGCAAGGAGCAAGTGGCAAGGTAACGTCTCAAAATCGGCATCGTGAACCATACTTGTCCCAGGTATCCGGATCCACGTCTGAAACTTGGCGATGAGTGGGGACACCCTCGCACGCGCTGACACCGTCGAATAGATCTGCGATGCAGTCCGAAATTCGTCGCCGACTACTTCGGCCCGAGGCGTACCCCTTCCCGTCCGCCTGCAAGGTGGCAGTCTCCTCGAGGTGGCCAATCGTACGCTTGATGTCATCCCGCACGGATCTCATCATCGATAACAAGAGTACCAAGTCGAGTTTCTCGTTGCCGTAGATCAGCCGCCGCGCGCCCTCGAAGGACTCTTCTCTCTCTTTCTCAATGGAACTGTCCGCGTCCAGAGCTTCAAAAACGTCTGCGAGCGAGTCCGCGGATCGCAGATTCTCCAGCTCCTCCTTCACCTTCGCGGGGGCAACAGCCAGCTCGGCAAACGTAATCTTCCCGCCCATATCTTCACCCATCTGTTCGAAAGTGCTCACCAACGCCGGCATCAACTGCCGCGTGCGCTGCCCGTTCCACAATTGACGCGTTTGCTTGTCGCGCTGCACGGAGTCTAAGAAACTCCGGAGGACAACTGCCGTCACCATGTTCACGAGGAATACTGCACCAACCAGGAGAGAAGGTCCCACAATCAAGCATGAGCCAGACGTTATCCTCGAACATCGGCATGTATATGGCCCCGATGCTGTCGAACGTCATAAACTGTACCAAAGTCAAGATGATCATCGGGATGGAGGCCCAGTGCTGTCGAACAAGTTCGTCGCTCCTATTGCCCCGCGACTCCCTTTCTGGACTGCGAACAAAAGGCGTCCACGCGTCCACGCCTATGCAAGAGAGAATAAACATTGTCATGCGGAAGACAGAAAAAACGCATTCAAGATCCCAACGGCTAGCATCCAAAAGACCCGGAATTGCACGACCGAGCGGAGAGCACGGGCGACGCGGGCCAACCGGAAGAAGCGCAAGGACATCACCAACTGAATAACCCCCTGCGTAGAGTCCCTGGCGATGAGAATGACCAGAGGCAATAGCCACGCGCCAGTTATACCAACCACGACCAAGGATACATTAAACTGCGCCCAGTGGTCCTACAAACACGGCGCTCCGAAAGCGAAGAAGCGGCACGCGAGCTTCAACGCATAGTTGTGAAAATATGCTCCTGGACCTCAAACACCAACCGCGCCTTTGGACCTCCTCCACGCTGCTCATCTGGATGCGCTGTCAGCTCGGTGCCAATGAGGACGGCATTGAGCAAAATCACCATGCGGAGAAAAAGATGGTTAACGTGACATACCCGAGCTCTGGAGTATCTTCACTCGGGAACTGAAATCAAGCCCCAGCATCACGAACCTCCTGAGAAATTTCGTGGTCAAGAGGATGTAGCGTATCAGCCATGTCGGTGCCCAGAACGACCAGCGCCATCTCGACGGCAACAATCAGCTTGGTCGCATGTTCGGCGGGGCTCTGGGAGTCGGAGTAGCAGACCCACCCCGACTTACTGAGAACCCTCGGCGCCGTAGACCACCAGTTGAGGTGTAATCCATATCTTCCGGCAATGCCAGCTCGCGAGAAGTGATATGCTGGGCCCAGTAAGAGGCGAAACGAGGGAGACGCTGCCCCACACTGGCGGCGCGCCTTCCCCGAGCAGCGGCGCGTCTCGGAGGACACAGCTCCAGCAAGAAAGATCCGCACCGGCTTGCGACCATCCTCTCCCAGACGCTTGAAGACTCGCTTGTGCACGAGGTTCGACTCTGCATCCACATCCACGTCCGGGATCTCGTCAGCGTCGAAACGTTTGTCATTGACTTCGGCCAAACATCGGATCCTTGCCATGCAGCGCAGCAAGTGCTCGACCTTCACATGGCGTGGGTGGTCGGGTCTGTGGGTCCAAAACCTCATCTGGCCATCCACAATACCCTGCAGCGCCCGAACCACTCGGTGATCGTCAGTGTCGCACACCTCGAGACAGCAACCACGGCGATCGGCATAGGCAACAAAGCGAAGGCCCCACCCGGGCATGCATGATCATCGCATTCTCCAAGAATGTCGACCACACGAGGCGCCCCTGGGAGATGACTCTGAAGGCCTGCAATGATACCGACAGGCGAGGGTGTAGGTGTACGTGCTGTGCCCACCCGCGCCCATAGCACCACCAGCGGTTGGTGTATCTGGTGATCGACCTGTACAGAGCTCTGCAGGTCGAGACAGGAGGCGGCGCCATAAGGGGGCAAACCCACAGCCAAAGCGGGCGAATGTAAGCAACAGCGAGCCGAGCACGGATCTCCGCACCTCCAGGGACTGTCCCAGGCACACGGGTCGCTGTATGAAGCTTGTCCCAGCCTCCTCTCAGCTGGATAGGGGTAGACGCATCCGCTGGAGTCGCCACGATCCCTAGGTGCTCCACTGCCGTAGGGGGTTGGTCCGAGCGAGCCCACAACCGACGTTTCCGCACGTTCTCCTTGAAACCGACATCGGTGTCAAAGCGTTGGGTACAGTCCAAGTCCCTGGTTAATTTTGGGCAAGAGGAAGACGTGAGGGACCTATCGTCCATTAAAGCGTAACCAACTGGCGGTTGCCACGGCACCAAGGCCGCGGTCATGGTAGCAGGGGCCACCGAATCGCCTTGAGGAAACCCTCGGGTAGGCCAAATCGGTGGCGCCAAAGAGGAGTTGACGCTGCAGTACCTGGGGACTCTCCAAGCCGCCACAGCAGTAAACGTAACCGCAGGCGGCCAAAATCACCATGCCGAAGGCGACGTCGAACATCGGGCGTGCCAGAAGAGCACGACAGCCGTCACGAATTGGTCCTATTGTGAAGAGGTCGGCTATGGCATCCTGACGCTGCAACAATAAACTGGCGTGGCTTGCCTTCGACCCCCCAAACCTAGCGTCAGGGGCGTCCGTGGAGCCTGCCGATTGTTGCGCTGAGCTCACCCTGCCCCAACTTTTCCTGAACGGCGCTTGCGGGCCGAATCTGTCTGTGCCAACTGCTGCATGGACTCGCTCGCCGGCGTGGGCCTTTCCGGCTCTGTGGAGGTGGTCGCCTGGACGAACTCGGTCTTGCCGTCCCCAGCGCTCGCTGGCACCCCCTGGTCCGTGGTCGCCAACCTGCTGCGGCCGCCCTCCAGACGTCTCTCCAGCCCGTCCATCCTTTCCAGCAGCTCGCGCTGGTGCTCGGACTGGGTTTTGAAGATCAGGCGCAGGAGCCGAGCGGTCTCCACGGTGCTGCTTCCGATCTCGTCGTCGGTGAGGCCCTGTCCTCCATCAGGGCCGTAGGAGCTCGGGCGGAACTGCATGTAGGCCGCGCGGCGACGCAAGAAAGCGCAGGGCTCGGCGGGGCTCGAGGGTGCAGGGATAGCCGCGCTGGTGCTTGAGCCCAAATGGCTACGGAAGCTCATCTTGGGCGTTTTGAAGGCGGATGAAGCTCCTTTGGTTTTTTTCGTGTGGTTGGCGTTTTGTGCCAGAGTTCATACTACATTGCAATGCGCTGCAAAGCTTCAGGGTACATGACGTTGCATGCATTGATTCAGTTATCGTACAACTCCCTCCGAACTCCCTCCTATGCTATCTTACTGCATGTCTCGTCGCGCCCTGCTTTAATGCACTGGCATGGAAACACGCGTGCAGTCATGTACGCATTCAAATGCGAATGCGAATGAACATAAATACGCGTACATATTCAAGTATGTGCGGACGCGAGCACTAGCATTTGTTCAGAAGCCAGGTCCCGCTTTCAAGCAAAACTCTGAACAAACGTTGGGCCAACATTGCGCGCGCCAGGATGAACGTGAGCTGGGCGATTAGAAAACTGAGCCAACTTCATTGAAACCAACTCTACAATCACCGAGCCAAAACGATCGGGGGGTTATTCGCCGCTAGCTGTAGCATGCCTACAAGCTTTTTATTTCATATACTACCATCTGATAAACTTGAAACGCCTTTCCTTGCAACATGTTTTTATCAGAACACAAGGTGTAATAACAAACGACAAACTGACCATTGACCAACTATGCGACCATCGATCAAACACCGCTTGCCCTTCAGAGTCCTCAGCCGTGAACTTCCGTACCACATCCACTGGCCTCATCATCTCGACCCCCATGATCAAGCCAAGTAGATCAGCCGCAAGTGTACACATAGATACTTGGCTGATCGGGCTCCCCCTGCTCGGAACAGCAACATATAACCGAGTACCCAAGATACCCACCACCTTCCCCCCAAGACAATTGGTCGGGGAAGAGGGGCGGAAAGGCCGAACTTCATTATCCCGGGGGGGGTACGAATCGAAGTTGCTGTCTTCTCATGTTGAGCAGCAGCACCATCACGAACGTGTGACAGTGATATCTGAGATTCTCACCATTTCAGCTTTACCAAGTCACGGACGTGTGGCAGGGCTGTAGCAGATTCTCACCACTGTTCGCAAGAGAGGCTTCCTGGCGAGTGGCGACAACAAAAATCTGAAAAATCCTCGTCGTCGCCGTCTCACTACCCCACATACGACATGCCAAGAGAAATCGTTGATTCGAGCGCCGGAACTGTATTATCTCCCTGGTGTTATACTCAGAGGCAGTTGGTTACAGTGCGACTGGTAGGCGACAATCGACGACTGGTGGGCAAGTTGCAACGAAAAGTAGAAGCGCGGGGCTCTGAGGAACTCGGAACACGACAGAAGGGGGAAACAGCGATCAACACGCACAGATCACATGCAAGACAAGCTGGGAGAACGACTGTGGAGACGAAGGGAGGCTGGGACGCTTATCGCAGCCTCTGCTCTGCCCCCCCAAGAGGTAGCAGCAGCAATGAAGCAATGCTGGTGCCCTCTGCTTTCCCTTTGGACAAGAAGAGGGTGTTGTCGTACTCCCCGTTAATTGCCTGAGGCTCGGACTACAGCCGCGTGTATCTTGTACCGTTGGATCATCGAGCATACAACGTCTTGAGCTGCACATTGTTCCACACTTGCGAGGCGATGTGCGCATTCCGAATCTGCACGTGATCGGACCAGAACGGTAAACGCAGCTGTAGTCCAATGGGCGTATTGGGCGAAGAAGAAAAATAGGGCAGGCGAGGGCGACGAGGAGGCGATGACGAGGACGACGTGGAGAACGTGAGGACAGCGAGGAGGAACATGAGGACACCAAGGAGGAGGATAAGCACAACGACGAGGACGAAGATAATGACGGCGAGTACGAGGAGGAATGCGGAGGACGATGACGACGAAGACAACGGAGGACAGTAAGAGGCAATTGGAGAAGGATGTTGAATCAGGAGATGGTCCTGGTGACCCGAATTATCGGTCTACCCTAGGGGCTCCTGGCGTCGTGCGGGGTTGTCTCGGTTTCTATATATATATATATATATATATATATATATATATAAGTAATGCCCTGAGCGCCAAATCCCCCGTGAACGTCTAGGCAAACGAAACGTCATGCACGTTGAAGTGCAAGCTCGTTTTTTCGCCTACACCACTGTGGTGTGATGCGCCCAAAATGGATGGGTCGCCGACGTTCACCCAGCGGCCCCTCGAACGGTCCTGGCTGGCTCGGGCACGGGCGAAGGGCCAACTTCCAGGAGCAGCGCGCACACTCAACACTGGAGAAACGGCGGAGGAGGAGGGGGAGGCGAACAAAAACAACAGCCTGACGACGCCAGGCGCTGGCAACATGCCTGTGACGGCGAGCAGTGACCCTGAGACGAGCCTCGATCGAGCTTACAGCGACGAGACGTGCACAATCCACGACAGAAGAATTTCAGGATCCCCACAAGCATGGACGGTTGAGTTTTTGGGATCACGACGAAGCCGTTCAGGAAGAAACGATCAAAATGTTTCTGAGGAGCTTCCGGGAACCAAGTCTGCACCCTTCGGGCAAAGAGTACTCCTCGGATTCCCAGCTTTGTGCCAAACAGTCACAAGGTAGTCATACAAACGACCTTGCAGCTTGCCAGCGGTGCACTCAACTGTACGCGAAACGCAGTCAAACCAGGCGTGAATATCGCCAATGGATCAGAGAAAATTATCCTTCCACCATCCCGACCACATTGGAAAGTCTTCGATGACCACCCCAAACCCCTTATTACTGATCATGTAACGCAGGAAGGTAGCACGAGCTGGGCATGATAGCGTTTGGAAATCGACGGGAAACAACAAATTGCTTCAACTGTGCGCACACGGAGTATGAAAACGCGCTGCGAAGGCCAACCGCAAAACGCACCACAGATTCCCGAAAGCACCGCAAGAACTCGCCGGACACCCGGAAAACCTGGAGGACAAAAAAATATGACCGAAACACACATCACCCTGAACGCAACAACAGACCGCATAAACCCAAACCCACAATGTCTCGCAATGCCCACGCGATCGAGATGAGACTCAGGCCCGATACACACCAGAAACAACTTCGAATTTCTGGCCACTTGCATCTTCTGAGTCGATACGGAGAGCAGCGACCGAATCCCTCATCGACTGGAGGTCGAGGTTGCGAGCGAGAAAGATCACGCATTTCCTGGGAGTCAGTCGGGGGCCAGCCACAGGTTCCACCATGCGAAGTGTGTTGATCGTCGGCTTGAGCGAAGAGTGCGATCAATGCGGTCCGCCATCCGACTCTTAGTCCACCGCAACAGCGGGTCAGCAGCAAAAGCAAACGAGAGCATGCTGGACGGACATCTCTGAATAATTCCATGCCTCCGCCCGCCCAAAAGAATAGTAGCAGCTTGTCCCCCGCAAAAGCAGGGGGGGGAAAAAAGAGAACAAGGCGCCGTGCAGGCCCATCCCCCGCAGCACAAATGGCAGCCAAGGGATCGCCGGAGACGGGAAGGCAGCACGGAAATCCGTCATAAGAAAGCAAACGTGCTCGTTCGCGAGAACGCGCTGCTCCAGCGCCCATGCCTCCGCATCAACATTGTTCGCAATCAAGTCACGGGCCTCCATGCATTTCTGGTCGGCGGGGACTAGTTTCGAAGTGTTTTCGGCAAGCGTAATCGCCATGGCACCTGCCCATGAAACTGCGGCGCGTCGATGACGGAACCTGCCCCGCCTCGCAAGAGAAGAAGCAGAGGTACGCGTCAAATCGGGCTCGCGCAACTGGTGTGGGGGGGGGGGCTTTCCGAGCCCCATGCGGGAAGCCGTCGGGCCCAGGCATGATATGACCACGGCCTCAGATGCACTCATGAAGCTGCATGTAAGAAAACTGCCAGTCCATCGGAAAGGGCTTCGGGCAGTTCCTAGAAGTGCCCAGCAATCTCATCGCCGCCCACGCCATCCCAAACCGCCCCCCTCGGAGAGCGTGCGTCGCCCAATAATTTTCAAGTCCCATGGTGTCGGCAAGCACTCGCGAAATCTGATTGCGCACATGCTGCGAAGCCGCAAACATGAGGGACTTGACAGACTCGGGGCGCCCCCGCACCGACAGTCCTGAAACATGCGAGTTTTCAATATATTGCTCAAGCTTGCTGGAGACCCCAGGGTGACAACCGAAGTGCTTAGGGGTGGTGGGGGGCTCTTTGGAACGGGACGAAAGGCGAGAGGATGGCAAAGACAAGAATGCGATCGCTCGGCATGCGCGGCGAGACGGGCCCACCACGCCACTGCTAGCATCCATACCCCTCAAGACAGCAGGCGGCAAGCTAGAGTATATGCGGTCAAGGCACGACGAGCTCACTGTGACAGCGTCCCGAAGTTCTCTCCTGGTAGCAAGGCCTTCATCCTCCCTTCCTCCTCCACAGCAGAATTGAAATCGCCCATAGCTCTACGCCCCGAGTCTGCAGCAACGCAATAGAGTAGGTGGTGGCTGTGCCACTCGTATCAGGATGGTGCGCATTGAAAGCCGCCAGGTTTCCTGATGGGGCCAAAGCACGAAGTCTGACGAGCCCGTCCCGCAATCACCTCGGAATGGGAAAGACATGAGATTCTTGACCGCAGAGAGTGTGGAACCTGCGAGCTAGGGAGAGGAGGAACGACCTGTATCTGGCGCCCAAACGAACGCCACGATGAGCTGCGAACGCTTGCAAAAAGGCCCTGAGTGTTCCAGCAGCACGCAGAGAGAGGCGCAACATGCGAGAAGAGCGAGGAGAGGAGCAACTACCACCACCAAGGTCAACAGGAACACATGAACCATGAGAAAGACCAGCAAACGAAAAGAAGAAGGAAGAACGCAGCGTCGGGCTGCAGCCTTCAGCGTCGAAAAGGCTGATTCAATGGCGTGGCTGCCGCCTCGCGGAACACATCGCAATGCTGATTGATGCCGGACTCCACAAGCGCGGTGTTGTCCATATCAAATTCTATCGAACAGGTTTCCTCAAAGCATATAACGCATCCGCCCAACCCATTACTGTTGACACTGTAGCCCCTTGGTTTGAGCAGAACCGTCATCGCAGCCCTTACCTGGCCCACACTGGGGAACGATTGACGGCGTTTGCTGTCGACACCCCTGCGAATCCGAAGCTCCCGAGGGGTGTCCGAGAGAGGGTAGGGTCAGGGAGTTCAAAAGATCCGTCCGCCTCGCACAAGAGCAGGAAGTTACTGGCAGCAGTGGCAGGCTCAACATGCAAACAGACTTTGAGAGTTAAGTCGAAAACCTTGACCGTGACGTGCTTATGTTTGTCTGCCGGAGAGTACTTCTCCCGAGTGGCCTCGCCAGCGGCCTTCAGCGTACTGGCAAGCATGCGACGAAGAAAACCCCAAACGATCAATTTAGTCGTACTGTCCCGATTATGATCAGAGCTGGAAACATCATGGGTATTCTGACGAGGTACAGGCCCAGAGCGTGTCATTTAATTCAAGCGAACTTCGATGTCCGAAATGTTGGCCTTAACATTCGAAGGAACAATCGAATATGTGTCACACGCTGCGAAGGGTGTCGGCGTGCTGTCCATAGCGCAGGCTTGGGCTCTCAACCTCTCCATCTGAGTGTCCACGTCAGTAAAAGCGGCATCAGTTTCACCTTCCAGTTGGCAAAGTCTCGATTGAAAATCATTTCCCAGATTCTGCATCTGAGCTGTCAAGTGATCACAACGATGTTGCGTGGCCTCCATCTGCGTCTTGAGATTACCGAGGTCTGTTGCCGAAGCGGCAACCTGCTTGGAGAGGCCCTGCAGAAAGGTAAGAATGAGGTCCATCTTGTCGGGTTGCACAGCTCGGTGGCCATCTGACTTGGTCCCCTCTCTCAAAGAACGACTCTTGCTCTGCGGCGATGCAGAGCGAGAGCTCGGCGTAGAAGAGCGAACTTCGCGGCGCTGTCCCCACTCACCACGCGCGGGCATCGCAGCATAAGTGCGGGAGAAGGAACGGGAAGGAGAACACGTGCTGAGTGTGAAATGCCGCTCCTGGAGGCCCGTCGAGCCTCCCCCGTCGGCCGCAGACAAGGAACAGGTTTGAGCCTTGAGCCAAAATAGCTACGGATCTTGGGGCCTGTTGGATGCTTCTTGGGGGCCTCTTGGGTCTCTTGTGGGCTTCTGGGGTCTTCCTGGGCTGTCTGGGAGCGTCGTGGGGTTCTTTGGGAGTTTTTTGGGGCCGTCTCGGCGCCATCTTGGGCCGTCTTGGGGTTTTCTTGGGCCGTTGGGGGGCCTCCTGGGGCGCTCCTGGGTGTCTCTTGGGGCCCTCTTGGCCCGTCTTGGGGTTCTTGTGAGCTGTCTGGGTGCCTTCTGGAGCGCTCTTGGGGGTCTCTTGGGTTCCTCTTGGGGCGCGCTTGGGCGCTCTTGGGGCCCTCCTGGGCGTCTCTGGGGCCGCTGGAAAGCCCTCCGAGAGCGATTCTAAAACGATGCCGATTCGGAGTCCCCTCCGGGGCCGATTGTTTAAGGATGTCTCGAGCGGAATGGCAATTGTCCGAAATCGTTACTAACATGCACGGGAAGCGCGTGAAACCGCAGAGCTTGGCAAGAACATGCACCAATACCGAGATTGACTGTAGTATAGGCGCGCTTCCCCAGCGTCCACGGGGGTATCAGGTGAAGTTAACTACCCGCGAACGTTCAGGCAGATGAGAACCACTGTGCATCCTGGCCATGATGCTCGGGGAAAGGGATCCTGGAGTTTAGGTGCTCTTCGCCCTCCTCCTCTTCCTCCTCCAACCGAGTTAGGAAATCGAGCCCGCCAAAAAAAGAAAACAAACGCCTCGAGTGACTGTTCTGTTGCGGGCGCCTTTGTGGTCAATCGGGGAAGGCTGAACTCGCGCGGGGAGTGAACTCCACCTGCAGCGGGCGATGGATGCGGCTGATCCCCGCGGGGGGTCAGGGCCAAGAATAAGTGGAGTTCACTCCCCACTTTCGATCAGCGACACGCGCGAACTGACATGAGCAGCGAGCTCAACCTGGCACCCCTCGCGGTCAATCGGGGAGGGCTGAACTCGCGCGGGGAGTGAACTCCACCTGCTGTGGGCGGTGGACGGGGACGAATCCCCGCAGGGGATCTGGGTCAAGACCAGGTGGAGTTCACTCCCCTCAGCGACACGCGCGAACTCAGCGAACTCAGCGAAATCAGGGCCAAGACCAGGTGGAGTTCAGCGAACTCCACCTAGTATGTTTGTGGAAACAAGGCGTGGACGGGGAGGACGTTCGGGTGGAGGCGGAGGGGACAGATCGTGCCACTGCCACACGCCCTTCTACAATAGAAGAGTGCCCACAGCTGCAGACACCGCCCCACCGCAAGGCAGGGGTGCTTCTGCGACTGGGGGGGCCCCTCACCCCTGCTCGGACCCCAGTCGGCAGGGTCCTCCCTCCCGCCTCCCGTCCTCCTCTCCTCTCCACCCGTCTCTTGGGGCAGCGGTCCCCTTTACCGTCGAGGGCAGGCGAGCCGTTGCCAGGATCGCCACGACAGGTGTCTGAGCCGCATGGCGCGGGCAGGTTGCGTCTCTTCTGACTGGGAGGAAAAGAACCCAGACAACGATAACGATAACGATAACGATCGACAACAATCAAGGATAACGATAACGAGAACGATCATTGAAAATTATCGGTGTCGTTGTCGTTGTCGTTATCGTTGATACTTATCGTTGTAATCGTTATCGTTGTTATCGTTATCTTCGTCTCCGACGTGAATTGTCCAATCAATGGACTCAGATCTCCCGACCGCTCCCCCCAAGATCAAGGTGTAGTCCTGGGGTCCCTTTCTGGTGGTCCCGGGTCTTCAGATCCACGGCCCAAAGTCGTCCCGACCGTTTTTTTATAGCTCTGGGGCCGAAGCCGGCCCTCTGGGATACGAAATCCGGAACAAGCTGCGGATGTTGGAGAAATCAGATCGGCCACGCGCAGGAGTAACTCTAGGCAACAGCAACCTCTTGTTGGTGCGCGACCTTCGCGGGGCGCGGGGGGGGGGCAGGCAAACCCGAGCGCGCAAGCCGCTGCTATCACGCCGCAAACAGCAGTCTGGGGATCCCGCACCGAAGGTCACTCCAGCGAAAAGCCACTCTCACGTGTTGCCGATCACAGCCGTGAAGTCCGAGGTCTGGGATCATGACCGGGTGGAGGGGAGGACGGGGACGCCACCTTGCCCTCCCGGAGCTGCCCCTCTCTCCCAGGGGGGCCTCCTGCAGCTCCGGCGCAGAAGTGCCAGCCCCCGGCGGTGGCGGCGGCCCGGGCGGCAGCGGCGGCCACACGGGCGCTTCTGGACAGGTCGGGGGGGAGGGGGGGGAGGGAGAGGACGTGAGGAGAGTGTGACGGTGGGTGAGGGAAGCGTCGGTAGGGGGGGGGATGGGGAATGACAGAAGCAAGCAGAGGGCATCTGGCAAGATTCTGAGACCTCGGCGTCGCATTTTTTCCCTCACACTGGGCGTTTCTTCGCCCAGTCTCGGGCTCCAGCACCATCACATCTCGATCCAGCCTGAAAAAAATGCATCAGAGGGGTCGGATTTAGGGCTCCAGTTGTGGTGTTCTGTGATGACGCAAGCTTTCGCAACGTCGGATCTACGGGGAGGTGCACTGCCCTCGAAAGGAAAGGCGAGGGAGGCCCAGGTCAGAGACAAAGGGGGAAGAGAAACATGCGGGCGGGGACGTCCATTCAGAGAGCGGAGGAGAGCGAGGAGAAGGCGCAGATGCGTTCGGGCGGGGGAGACGAATGGATAAAAAAACGAACAAAGCCGGGATGGAGATCAACCCTGAAGAACATGAGAGGGGGACGGAGGTATGGAAGCAAGGACGGGAGGAAGGACGCAGGAGGGAAATTGGCGCCTTGCGGGGACAAGGAATGAAGCAGGGGAGGGAGAGGGAAGTAGGCTCTCATCCTGAAGGTGAGGGCCCCGCACGAACTCGATGTCCTTGCTGCGGGACGTTGCGGCTCTTCCTCCTCGAGCTCGTAGCATGCACAGTGGATCGATAAGAGTCAACCAGCAACACGCGAAAACGGTTGAGCCGCATGCAGTGTGGGGAAAAGGGAAGGGACGACAAGGGAGGAGGATGAGGTGGGCGAATCCTCCGCTAGTGACAGCAGTTTCAGCGCAGTGGCGCAGCAAGCGGCGCCCATGACTAAACTTTCAACTCAAAAAGACGCCCAACACGATGAGGAGAGGGTGGAAAGACGGTAAGGAGAATGATGGATGATGTTCAGCAGGGGATGAGGACAGGACGGGATGCAGGCCTTGGAGCACCAATCAAAGCTGCGCAACAAAAATGATGAAGAGGATGGATTGGAGTAGGGAGGAGAAAAAACAATGACAAACTGTATAAGCATTCACTTCCAGAGGTCCGTGCGGACTTCCTAATATTTCTTTTGTAATTTAATCCTCCTCCAAGGAGGAGGGGGAGGAATGAGGGACACACACACACACACACGCACACACACGCACATCATGATCATCATCCTCGGGCATTCCATGCGAGCCCGCTCGCGCGGAAGGGACCTCCCCTGTGGCCCCTAGGGGGTCCCACCTAAAAGTTGGAATTCCAACGGCTATCGGCATCAGCGAGCCCGCTCGCACGGAATGACCCTCAGGGGCATTCCATGCGAGCCCGCTCGCGCGGAAGGGACCTCCCCTGTGGCCCCTAGGGGGTCCCACCTAAAAGTTGGAATTCCAACGGCTATCGGCATCAGCGAGCCCGCTCGCACGGAATGACCTCTCAGGGGCATTCCATGCGAGCCCGCTCGCGCGGAAGGGACCTCCCCTGTGGCCCCTAGGGGGTCCCACCTAAAAAATGGAATTCCAACGGCTATCGGCATCAGCGAGCCCGCTCGCACGGAATGACCCTCAGGGGCATTCCATGCGAGCCCGCTCGCGCGGAAGGGACTTCCCCTGTGGCCCCTAGGGGGTCCAACCTAAAAATTTGAATTCCAACGGCTATCGGCATCAGCGAGCCCGCTCGCACGGAATGACTCTCAGGGGCATTCCATGCGAGCCCGCTCGCGCGGAAGGGACCTCCCCTGTGGCCCCTAGGGGGTCCCACCTAAGTTGGAATTCCAACGGCTATCGGCATCAGCGAGCCCGCTCGCACGGAATGACTCTCAGGGGCATTCCATGCGAGCCCGCTCGCGCGGAAGGGACCTCCCCTGTGCCCCCTAGGTGGTCTCACCTAGAAGTTGGAATTCCAACGGCTATCGTCATCAGCGAGCCCGCTCGCGCGGAATGACCCTCAAGGGCATTCCATGCGAGCCCGCTCGCGCGGAAGGGACTTCCCCTGTGGCCCCTAGGGGGTCCCACCTAAAAGTTGGAATTCCAACGGCTATCGGCATCAGCGAGCCCGCCCGCACGGAATGACTCTCAAGGGCATTCCATGCGAGCCCGCTCGCGCGGAAGGGACCTCCCCTGTGGCCCCTAGGGGGTCCCACCTAAAAGTTGGAATTCCAACGGCTATCGGCATCAGCAAGCCCGCTCGCGCGGAATGACCCTCAGGGGCATTCCATGCGAGCCCGCTCGCGCGGAAGGGACTTCCCCTGTGGCATTCCATGCGAGCCCGCTCGCGCGGAAGGGACCTCCCCTGTGGCCCCTAGGGGGTCCCACCTAGAAGTTGGAATTCCAACGGCTATCGGCATCAGCGAGCCCGCTCGCGCGGAATGACCCTCAGGGGCATTCCATGCGAGCCCGCTCGCGCGGAAGGGACCTCCCCTGTGGCCCCTAGGGGGTCCCACCTAAAAGTTGGAATTCCAACGGCTATCGGCATCAGCGAGCCCGCTCGCACGGAATGACCCTCAGGGGCATTCCATGCGAGCCCGCTCGCGCGGAAGGGACCTCCCCTGTGGCCCCTAGGGGGTCCCACCTAAAAGTTGGAATTCCAACGGCTATCGGCATCAGCGAGCCCGCTCGCACGGAATGACCCTCAGGGGCATTCCATGCGAGCCCGCTCGCGCGGAAGGGACTTCCCCTGTGGCCCCTAGGGGGTCCCACCTAAAAGTTGGAATTCCAACGGCTATCGGCAGCAGCGAGCCCGCTCGCACGGAATGACCCTCAGGGGCATTCCATGCGAGCCCGCTCGCGCGGAAGGGACTCCCCTGTGGCCCCTAGGGGGTCCCACCTAAAAGTTGGAATTCCAACGGCTATCGGCAGCAGCGAGCCCGCTCGCACGGAATGACCCTCAGGGGCATTCCATGCGAGCCCGCTCGCGCGGAAGGGATCTCCCCTGTGGCCCCTAGGGGGTCCCACCTAAAAACTTGAATTCCAACGGCCATCGGCATCAGCGAGCCCGCTCGCACGAACTGACCCTCAGGGGCATTCCATGCGAGCCCGCTCGCGCGGAAGGGACCTCCCCTGTGGCCCCTAGGGGGTCCCACCTAGAAGTTGGAATTCCAACGGCTATCGGCATCAGCGAGCCCGCTCGCACGGAATGACCCTCAGGGGCATTCCATGCGAGCTCGCTCGCGCGGAAGAGACCTCCCCTGTGGCCCCCACCTAAAAGTTGGAATTCCAACGGCTATCGGCTTCAGCGAGTCCGCTCGCACGAAATGACCCTCAGGGGCATTCCATGCGAGCCCGCTCGCGCGGAGGAGGATGAGGAGGAGGTTTAGGAGAAGGAGGAGGAGGAGGATGAGAAAGAGGAGGAGGAGGCGGGGATTTCAACCACGGTGCCGTCAGGAGGACGCGGTTGAAATGGACGCTGCTCAAGGCGGAGGAGGAGGAGGAGGAGACGTGAGGAGGAGGAGGAAGAGGAGGAGGACGACGACGAGGAGGAGGACGAAGAGCAGGAGGAGGAGAAGGAGGAGGAGGAGGAGGAGGAGGGGGGGACCAGGAGGAGGTGGATGATGAGGAGGAGGACGACGAGGAGGAGAAGGAGGAAGAGGAGCGAGCGGGGAGGAAGGTTTCAACCACGGCGGCGGCGGGAGGAGGTGGTTGAAACGAAAGCCGGTCGAGGAGGAGGATGCGGAGGAGGATGAGGAGAAGGAGGAGGAGGAGGAGGAGAAAGAGGGGGAGGAAGCGGGGATTTCAACCACGGTGCTGGCAGGAAAACGCGGTTGAAATGGACGCTGCTCAAGGAGGAGGAGGAAGAGGAGGAGGAGGAGGAGGCGGAGGAGGAGGAGACGTGAGGGTTATGAGGAGGAGGAGGAGGAGCAGCAGGAGGACGACGAGGATAATGCCCTTGCGGGGTATTCCGTACGAGCCCGCACGCGCCGAATGGTCCTCATGGGGGTAGCAGGGGGCAGAGGAGAAAGTTTAGAAGAAGGAGGAGGAGGAGGAGAAAGAGGAGGAGGCGGGGATTTCAACCACGGTGCCGTCAGGAGGGCGCGGTTGAAATGGACGCTGCTCAAGGCGGAGGAGGAGGAGGAGGAAAGGGGAGGATGATGAGGAGGACGACGAGGAGGAGGACGAGGACGAGGACGAGGAGGAGGAGGAGGAGGAGGAGGAGGAGGAGGAGGAGGAGGAGGGGGGGACCAGGAGGAGGTGGATGATGATGATGATGATGATGAGGAGGAGGAGGAGGAGGAGGAGCAGGAGGAGGAGAAGGAAGAGGAGCGAGCGGGGAGGAAAGTTTCAACCACGGCGGCGTCGGGAGGAGGTGGTTGAAATGAAAGCCGGTCGAGGAGGAGGAGGCGGAGGAGGAGGTGGAGGAGGAGCAGCAGCAGCGTCAGCAGGAGCAGCATTCTTCTGATAGTGTACATATCCCATACAAAATTAGGTTTTCATGCGGGGTCCATCCGTTGGAGTAATTATTTTGTAGTTTAATCCTCCTCCACTTAAGGAGAAGGGGGAGGAATGAGGGACAACAAGAAAAACACGTACGAGCCCAGTGTCACCATCTTGATGCTAAAGTGGAAGGCTGTGCCACTTGAACGCTCTGGAGGGAAATCTTACTTCGATGGCTGGAGCAGGAACGGGAGGAAGAAGAAGAGCAGAAAGCCCCGAGTCCCTTCCTTCACCCTCCCTTACACCCGCGGCTATGATTGCACTCCAAGCCGCGGTCCCAACAAGGTCCCGACCGCTTCCCCCGGAGGCGTTCGTCCCGAATGCGAGGCCCGAAAATGGCCCCCGAGGGCCGACATCTAAAACAACCATCTGGCATCGAGGCAAACCCGCTGGCTGAAACAAAAAACAAAACACATCGTCGGAGATGTACACTCGACCAGGATAGTAAGGGTGCGCGGTAAGGATGCAAGAGCCTTGGAACGCCACGTTGACGCTTTCCGTGCGGAGCGCAGCAGAATGCCGAAGGATGCCGAGCACCGAAGGGGCAAGGATGCAAGGGCAGCCTTGGAAAGTTGCCCCATCCTTACTATCATTGTTGACTGCCGGCTTCGGAAGTCCCCCGAGCAGGCGGCCGCCGCGGGCCTTGAGATGGAGGCGGCCCGGGCGGCAGCGGTGGGAGCTGCGGCGCCTGCCTGGCGGCTGGGATCGGCGGCCAGTCCTGGTGTGGAAGCCAAGCGATGCCGACACCGCCTCCTCGTCGGAGGGTAGGTGTCCCCAGGTCTTCGCTCAGTTTCGGAGCCCCTGGGGCCCTTTGGGCCACGTGAGGGGTGCTCTGGAGGCCGCGGGGGTCTCCTAGGGAATCCTGTGAGCACCTTGAGCCACGGGCACGTGGCAAGACTGGGTCTAAGAGAGCCTGGTTTGCTGATGTGTGCCGGGGTCACGCCCCCGCCACTCCAATCCACCAAAGCCGAACTGCTGCCACCAGTAGAAGCACCTGCTAGTACGGCAAACCTGATCTAGTAAGGAGAGGGGAAACACTGCATTGCATCCGACCGCGGTCACCGACGTCCATTCGTGCGTCTATGTATCCCAGGGCCTCCACAGCCGCGCATTCAAACCCACCGTGGCACGACGTAATGAGACCAGCCCTGCAGCCAGCAACGCAGGGAGACAGCACCGTGCGAAGGGCACGAAGAGAAGCAAGACGAAGAGCGGGCGAGGAGGGAGGGGGAGGGCGGAACAACACTTTATACCTGTACAGCGCCTCCTGCCGCAACAGAAGAGCTAGGCCACCTGCGACCGGCATCACTGCAACAAATTGTCAACAAGTAGCTCGGTGAAACACTACATAATAGAAAACAAGAAAAAATGAACTGCGTCGGCCCGAAGGAGGAGCAGCTCGAGCCCGCACGGAAGCCAACCGCAAATTTCCAGGCAAGATGGGGCGAAGCACCTGGCAAGTGCACGTGGCGGGACGCCGGCGCCGCCCGCAGAGAAGCGACGGGACTGCGGGCAAATGGCGCGCGCAATCCAGAAGACCATACTCCTGTTGCGCAGCGCCCCCCAGAGAAAACAAAAAACCTCATGCAATACATCATGCAGGCTACAGCGGGACACAGAATCGCACGCGACGGTTCAACGAGAACGAAGGAAGAGGGAAGAGAGGGGCGTCGCCCTTGACGAGCGCATCGGCGGTATCGCGAGCCCTTCGGCCAGCCAGAGCAGAAACCGCGACGCCTCAAGCGCACTCACACCCTACAGGCCGAAATCAGATGCGGCTGCTTCGGGCGCTGGCCCCTTCTGGGGGGCCTCGGGGCCCAATCGCCAACCAGCTCCTTTTGTCCAGGGTACTGGCTATATCCGGTACCCCCCTGTGGGACGAAGCCAAGACAGGGACAGCCCCGGACAGGGAAACGCCGGGGATCTCTGAGATCCGGCGCATCTGGAGAGTGTCTCCGGCGCCCCGCGGCCGCTTCTGAGCGCCCTGCGCAACGCTCCGAGATCGTTGCGGAACGCTCTTCGGCGATCTACCCCGTCCTGGGCCTGCCATAGGCATTTGGAAGCGACTCCAGCGCTGTCGCCACGAGGGCCGCCAAGGGAGTCCCCAAACGTGAAAACGAGGCAAGGGTAGCGGCGTCGGTACGGTCGGATCAATATCATAACAGACTACTACCAGAACATGGGCCCGTGTGCCGCTGAAACATTCGAAAGCCTAAGATCACCGAGGGCCCCTTCTGACGAGTCCCCCATCGGCCCTAGCAGTGGACCTCAGCTCTACGCCCTAGGACTCGTCCAACCATCCAACAAAGCTGTCAAACTGAAGAACACTCGAGGGTACCCCTTCCCAGGTTGCACAAGAACGTGCAAACAAAACGAAGAACATCAGGGACCCTCCCTCAACCGAGGATGCCAAAAATCCAACGCTTCACATTTTTCGATGCGTGGGCGCCTGGAGGACTGGACCACTTCCCCTTGCAAGGCCAACTTTTCGTTCTGGGCCGTTCTGACGGTCCTGGGGCTCGTCGAGGGCCCCTGGAGGCCGAAAACTGTCAAAAACTGGCCGTTCCCAATTTTTCAAAGCCTCGGATCTCCAAATGCGTTCACGCATCGCTCCGACCGTGCTTCGAAAGGCCGCGCGGATTTCTGGGATCTGCGCAGGACCTCCATCCCTGGCGCACGGAGAAGGCCAGGAGCGGGGCCAGAGGCGCCGCCGGGGAGACTCGGAGCAGATCCAAGAAATCCGCGCAGAGCTACGAGAGCTAATGTTCAAACTGTGTTAAGTTCCTGGGAGATTCGCCATTTGGCGCAAGGTTTGCGCGTCAGCCTCTGGGCGGGTTTGGAACATTGCACCTCCAGAGCACGCGATGCACGTCGCAATTGCGGGTGTGCAGTCATGGGAAGGCGTTTCGCCGTGGCCCTGCCAGGGCTGGGTCCGTGAAGAATCCTGGCTGCTCGGCGGCAGCGGTGGGCACCGCTGCGCCCGCCCTGCCGCTGGGAGAGGCGGCCAGCACTCGGGGGCTGGCGGGAGACCCGGGCTGCTCCGCGCCGCCGGCTGGAGGAGGAAGCCGGGCCGCTCGCGCGAGCCGCCGCCCGGCCGCTCGGCTGCCCCGCCCCGTTCGAGCCGCCCGGCCGCTCGGCTGACGCGGGCCCCCTCGTCGGCCCCGAAAATTTGATTTCCTTCGTAACTCTTGTGCCGGAACGTACTCATCACGCGCTCGATGTCCTTCTCGTGAGATGTGCTGCCGCCTCCGAACATCGTCATGACAGGTTCCGTCGCGACCTGCGCCGCAGCCTGTCTTTGCGGCGAGAACACAACGCAGTTTTGTCGGCTGTCACAAAAACGCGGACCTGGGAACCCGTTCCACTGCCGCCCCGCCGTGGGCGCCACGATTCGCCGCGGCGCCCGCGGCGGGGGGGGCTGGGTCAGGTAGGGGGGGTGAGTTTGGGTTGGGGGCTCGCCGGAGGTCTTCCTGGAAATCGTGTTCCTTGTTTTGTTCGTGCTCACCACTTTCATGTTTCTCCCCGCGGTGGGGGGAGGGTAAATAGACCCCCGCGACTGACGCGCAGCGCCACAGACCGTGCCGGTTACGACCGTGTCAGTGCGACAATGTCAATAAGGCCGTGTCAGTGCGACCGCGCCACTACGACCGCGTCAATGCGACCGTGCCAATAAAGCCGTTTCTATAGTTCGCGTCAACGTCATCGTGTCATTTCAATTGTGTCCATGCGATTGTATCATTGCGAGTGTCTATGTGGACGTGTCTAAGACCGCGGCGTCAATGCGACCGCGTCAACGCGACGATAGCATTGCGCGTCGGGCAGTGGGGCGTTCCATCCAGCAGCGCGCGCAGGCAGCAGACGCGATCCGCGCATTCCGTCGCGCGCGCCTCTCGCGCATCAGCGATGTGCGCTGCGACGCCCGCGCTTGCCATGACCTTGGCAGATCTTTTGCCGCCCATGCTGACGACAGTCGCGGTGCGGCGGAGTGGCCGGGGCAGCGCGCAGCCCTGTGTCAGGCGACGCGGCCGCGTGCGAATGCCGCGACGGCGCGCCCGTGTTTCGCGCGAAGGCTACTGAGCTGGCGTCAGTGCGTGACCTCGCCTTCGCAGACGCCAGGACACTGCGGGGCGGACCGTCCGCTGGCAAGCGATCCTTCTTGGCCAAGGCGATGGCAGCCGCGAAAGCCCTGTCGTCGGAGGAACATCGCGCGGCCGATCCGGCCAGCGCGGGCAGCGCGGCCGGGAGCGGGTCCACGCCCGAGCAGATGCGCAATGCTAACATACGCGCAGAGTTGCAGGGTGCCGCCCGCGAAGTGTTTGGGCCAGACGTTCTGGCCGCGGCCCGCAGCGGTCGACGCCCTTGAGTCGGGCGCGAAGCGGCTGATGCGTCGCGGCATCAAGCGGCCATTCGTTTTCGTCGGCTCGAAAAAGTGTTCGCCCTTCTGGGCGGAATCGAAGAGCGCGGAGGACGAGGCGGACGACGCCCCGACCGTGTCGAGTGACCTTCGCGACCTCACGCGCGAGCTCGGCGCTGCGAGCCCAGTCAAAGCGGAGTCGCTCACCTTCACGCAGTGGCATGCCGCAGACGACAGGTGCGCCATCGCTTGCGTCTGCGCAGGGCAGATGTCTTTGGTCGCGACGATTCGCCGCCGCCAGAACGTCCTGGAGACCCGCTCCTTCCGCTGCAGTTCAGATCCATCGGCGCGAGTGCGATGCGTGCGCGGCGTGGCAGGTGGCCGCGCAGGCGCCCCCGGGCGATCGGAGCGGCGCTCTGGGACTTGTGTACGACAAGACTTGTCGGCGCAATTGGGCAGAGAGTTCGACATTGAAACTGCCGTGGCGACGGTCGACTCGACTCTCTTGAGCGATGCAAAGGCCGCGCGCGGCTGCGACGCCCAGGAGCGCTCAGCCCCACGCGGGAGCAAGGGTGCCAAGGGCGGCGGAAGGTCTGGCAAGGGCGGCGGCAGGGGCGCCGAAGGCGGCGGAGAGGACGAGCTCCCTCCAGCGCCGCCGGCGGCGTCGAACGATCGCGGCGATTGCGGCGAGCCGCGGGCCCAGAGAGCTAGGCATCGGGAGCGCTGATTCTTCCCGCGTGGCCACGCAGGCGCGGGTCTGCGCGCAAGGGCGCGACGGCGCCAGCCGGGCGATGCGCAGGCGCAGCTACGAGTCTGGCGTCGGCATTTGCAGCGCGCCGCGGACGCGAAGACGATGAGCTCATCGCGGATTGCCCCGTGGAGCACGAGGCAGGCCGCGCGGCGCTCCGAGAAGTACGCGGCGCGCGCAGGAGTCGCGCTCGCGCGGGCTACCAATTCGGCGCGCGCGGCGCAGCCAGCACCAGCTGCTTCACCGAAAGAAGACGCTGGCGTGAGCGCTCCCGCGGCGGGCGGGGTGCAAGCCCACTTGTCATAGGGCTTTCACCGCGCATCAGCGTTACCCCCGCGCGCGCGTCGAAGCCTGACGCCGGCGACGCGCAGAAGATATCGCGCGGCGCCACCCCGAGGGATTGAAGAGGATGTTCGCAGCGCCACAGCGTGGGAAGCGTCCAGGGACAGCGCAGAGGCGATGCGTCGGCGCGACAATATGTCATCGCGCCTGAAAGCGCAGGGAAAAGCTTTGCAACGAGACGGGGCCGTAGAGCAACGGTTCGCTGGCGCGGACGTGGCGACGCGAGCCGCGCCCGGGCCGCTTCTAACCGCCCTGCTCGACATGACGGGCTACG